TGGTTAAAAGGTAAACCAACATAATATTTAAGTGCCAACTTTCAGTGAGATATCCACTTGGGGAACATGAGGCGAATAGAAATATACTTATGATTAACAGGTGAATAGGCCTGCTGATTTCTAAGTCTTTATTTATAAACATTTATTCATTATGAAACAACCTTGAGAATAATGAAGGCGTAACTTTGTTGATAGGACTGGGAAAACTAAGGGATGCTTAGTATGTTTCGGTTATTAATTCTTGGAGGTTAATTGACCTTGGGATGAAAACATTCCTAAACTTTCAGCCCAAAGGGCTCTATTGTTTGGGAAGATTTCTATAGGAGAAACTCATTGCAAAGAAGTTAGGAAGAGGAAGTCTTAAGCGAAGTGTTTTAAAACAAGGTCAAAAATGTATTCTGAAGAGAAAACATTTATTAAGCTGATATACTAGGCATTTCTTGCTTTTTATCTCATTTATTTCTCCCAATGGCCCTGTAGGAAGGGTAATAATTACATCCATTTCAGAAACAATACAGTCGACACCTTAAGTAACTTTTTTAAACAGGTCACACTTACTAACTGGCAAAGTGAAAATGAGAAGTCCATGTTTCCAGTAGCTTCTAGCTGCCTTTAGCTCAGTGCAAGAGACATAAGAGGCAACCAACACATTTGCTGGAAAGAATGAATGAATAAAGGTACTTTAGCTCTGCTATTTATGTGTCCCTGGGTAAGACAATTTTGCTGAGTCTGTCTTCATTTCTTAAAGGAATATAACAAGACGTACTTCACAGAGTTGAGGTAAGGAACAAATAAGGTGATACAATAGGGAAGAACAATTAAAATATAAAATATTAGATGTTAGCATGATATATGTCACAAATTGTGACATGTATAATTTGTGTGTGCATATGAAAACAGCATTGGTAACAGTTAATACTATGAGAATTTATACATAACTTCCAAACACCAGACTCTAAGAAAAAGGTACTGGATAGAAAAGTTGGAAGAATAGGCAAGGAATTGATATATTGTGTCTGGGACAGGAATATTGGTGGTTAGGGACAGGGTAAAGAAACTTTACATTTGTAACCCTTTGCATTTTCCTTTTGAATTTTGAACCATGTATTACTGCATTACTATTCAAAAAATAAATAACTTTAAACTTTATAAAAACATTGTATTAAAATGTAACATTAACACAGAATAAACACAGTACTTTTTTTAGCATTGCCTTTATTTCAATTATTAATTTAAATTATGAAAATGAAGCCACTTCATTTTTTTTTGAGAATTTAAATATTTTATTATATAAAGTTATACCCAGAATTGTGCTTCATTTTTTCACTATATACTTTAACTCAAGGACATTTGTAAAAGCAGTACATTTTAGAAATCCTGAAAGAAATTCCACTAGCTATAGGCTATTTAAATACTGCTTACAGAAAGTATTTAAAAAAAACCGAGGGAGTACAAATGAACTTATTTACAAAACAGAAGTAGAGTCACAAATGTAGAAAACAAACTTATGGTTACCAGGGGATAAGCGGGGGAGGGATAAATTGGGAGACTGGGACTGACATGTACACACTACTATATATAAAATAGATAACTAATAAGAACCTGCTCTACAGCACAGGGAACTCTACTCAATATTCTGTAATGGCCTGTATGGGAAAGGAATCTTTAGAAAAAAGGAGTGCATATGTGTATAACTGACTCACTTTGCTATACACTCGGAACTAACACAACATTGTAAATCAACTATACTCCAATAAAAATTTTTTTAAAAAGTATTAAAGGAAAGCCAGCACCATATAAACAGCATACACTTAAATAACAGAGATGAATGCTTAACATACAGAGTAATGTTTTTTTGTTTTTTTGTTTTTAAAATAAATGTATTTATTTATTTATTTATTTATTTTTGGCTGTTTTGGGTCCTCGTTGCTGTGCGTGGGCTTTCTCTAGTTGCAGCAAACGAGTGGGGGCCACTCTTCGTTGCGGTGTGTGGGCTTCTCATTGTGGTGTCTTCTCCTGTTGTGGAGCACATGGGTTTCAGTAGTTGTGGCGCACGGGCTTAGTTGCTCCGCGGCATGTGGGATCTTCCCGGACTAGGGCTCGAACCTGTGTCCCCAAGTGGATGCTTAACCACTGTGGCACCAGGGAAGCCCCAGAGTAATGTTTTTTATTCACTGATAAACTAAAGGTCCATTTCAAGATGTCTCTCTTGTATACTTCACTTGTTTTATTAGCAAGCAAAGCCCTATAAGGAAGGGATGGCTTCATCTAGTCCTCAGACTCGGATCCATCTTCATCTTGACTAATCTGGAAGTAACGAAGTTCGTAAATCTCCTTGTCAGATGCAACCACACGAAGACAATCACGAAGATTTTTCTTTTTAAGGTATTTCTTGGTAAGGTATTTCAAATACCTTTTAGAGAACTGTTTCTCAGAAACAACTGATTTTATTCTTGAAGTGTTCAATGTGAACGACATTCCCAAGATTTCCAGTTTTTCCATTCCCTTTAACCTTCTCCCGTAGAAACTGTTCAAAATTTCCAGAATTAAAAATTCCATCTTCTACTGGATGAGTAAGGTCCAAATTAAACTTCCAGGTTGACTTCTTAGGCTTCTTGTCTTTCTTCGGCGCCATCCTGAAGGCCCGCCGCGCGATCAGAGAGCCACTTCATTTTCAATATGATTATATCTTTTTAACAGAATCTGTGGTCCCTGAGCAAGTTTAATTCTCCTGAATAAAACAATCTTCTTTTACCATTATTTTGAAAGACTATTTTGCTGGATGGTAGATTAAATTGAGTGAAACGAGTTATTTTCTAAGAATAACATCAAATGCAGGTAGGGCAGCGGTTTTATCCACGAGCCCAGAGAGAAATGGGGCGGAAAATGAACGCAAGTAAATAAGAGTTAGTGGTTAAGTCTAACATTGCTACGGGCCGCCGTTTGATGTTAGTGCTGCACTGCGTTACAGCTCCTTTGCGCTTTGATGGTCTTCCAAAGTGCGAGTACTAGCCAGAGTTAGGTTCCTGAATGTTTCCCGATCTGCTGCCATGACCAGTCCAGGGCTTGGGTTAGGGCTTTCGCTGGCTCCTAAACACTGAAAAGATGACAGTGTCCCTCTACATTTATGCAATTAAAAATAGAAATTCACTTAAGAAATTCATTAAAACAACTTAGGGCGAATGCAAGACCTTCCTTCTAGACTTTCTGAAATAAAAGTTCCGATTAAATTCATCAAAGCTGAGCTTTTTTTCTGCATTTCTCCTTTGCTAATGTGTTAGCCGTAGTTCACTGGCCTGTTCCACCACCCAGCACTCACCGGCTCGCAAGCCCGAACCACGCGGCTGCTCGCAGGTGCCATCCCCAACCTGCCAGGAAATCTCCTCCTTCGCCCCACCCCTCTGGCCCTTGCCCCCGCCTACTTCACGCGTTGTCGTGACATCAGCGCGCCGTCGCCAAAGGCCGGCAGCAAATGAGCGCAGGTGGCTGCGGCCCTTCGTCGTACTCTCGAATGCGCAAGCGCGGTCGTTCCGGGTGCTCGGAAGACCTGGCGGAGCCAGGCGCTGATGGAGGCCTGAGGGCGGCGGGGGCGGGGCGCGCAGCGAGCTGGGGGCATGTCCACGGCGGGCGCCGTCTAGAGGAGGGCCGAGCAGCCGCCACCACGCTTTCAGTCGCGGCGAGACGCAGGCGAGCCAGGCCGAGGGCCGCGGCGGCGATGCAGCGACGGCGGCGCCCTCCGCCGCCAGTCTCCCAGCTGCCCGAGGGCTGCGGGGGAGGCGGCGGCAGCCGCGGAGGAGGCGGCGGGAGCGAGGAGGTGGAAGTGCAGTTCTCCGCCGGGCGTTTGGGCTCCGCCGCGGCGGTTTCGGCGGCGGCGGCCACGCGCAGCACAGAGGAAGAGGAGGAGAGGCTCGAGCGCGAGCACTTCTGGAAGATCATTAATGCCTTCCGCTACTACGGGTAAGGAGCCCGTGGCGGACCCCTGCTCAGCCCGTCTGCGCGCCCGCTGCTTGCGGCTGACCCGTCCGCACCGTGGCGCACGCCGCGCTTGCCCTCCGGTCGCCACGCCTCCGGGGCGTAGGAACCGGGCCGCCTGAGCTGACCTCTGCGCCCCCGAGTCATGTCGCACCACCTTAGCCCCTCCCGGCGCTGCACTCTCGCGTGTCTGCCGCGCCGTCTGTTGCTCAGCCTCTTGTCTTCTGATCTCTGGATCAGATTAGCCCTCTTGCCTTTCATCCCTCGTTAAAGGTTTGGCTTTGAGGCGGGTGAGGGTGACCGGAAAAGTGCTGTTAAGAATTTCAGATAGAAGATGGTGGTGGTAAAATCGTCCAGTGCTGGGCATGATTTGTATGTATTGTCGCTGTCCTGTAAACTGAACAGACGGAGAGCCCAAGTTCACCTACACGTGGGATGCCGTAGGATGCTTTTTTCTCAAACTGTTGTAAGTTCTTGTGAGAGCAGCATTAAGATTTCCGCCCCTCATCCCCCCCCCCCCCCC